TTAAATTTTTTTTTTTTATTTTTTTTTTATTTTAAAACTAGACCGGAACCATTTTTGTGACTATAATAGTTTTTAGATTTTCAAAATATGTATGTGTAAACTTTAACTTTGGGGAAAAAATATATTTTTCCTTTGGCAGAACTTTGCGATATGATAAAAGCTCTGACCAAAAATCATCCTGATTAAAAATTTTCGATTTCAGCCATTGGTCGATTTGACATGGATTGGCCAATATGTACATACATACATATGTACTATGTAAACAAACTAAACCAATTTTGTACATTTTTATTGACCACTGTATGCTGTACCACGGACAGGTTCATAGGCGTGTTGACATGTGGTGCCATGCAGTGTCACACCGTACTTGCACCCGGTCAAACTGCCTACCACATTCACTCATTCCAAGTCAAGTATCAGCCACTTGTACGACACCAACCATTAGCTGCGCGTGTCGCCCACTGTCCGTTCGTTCAGCCGTTCGACAACCTACAAATGTGTTTACTTTCATATAAGCAGATACATACATACATACCATATGTATGTAGATACATAGGTAGGTGCAACTGAATGCAGGTATGTACGTACATAAACATATCTATGCAGCTATTCATGCTGATGAAGGCAAACAATTCGAATTCTTTCACATTTTCATTTACATTTCCACATGGCGACTTTCCACTTCCTCAACTCCCACGTCCTATGCTCAGCTTACTGCCGCACTCACTCATTTGCTTCACCGCTGCTTCCCTTCTGCCGCTGCTTCCATACATAAATACATACATACAGATATCCACATTTGTATAGTAGACTTTGTTTTTTTCTTTTTGTTATTTATATTTAATTACTCTGGTGTTGCTTATTGTTGCTAGCCAGCCAACTCCAGTCACCACATGTATCCACACAAAATAGCAAAAACAATGCGGACGTCAGCAAGGCAGAGCGTACCGACGTTTTGAATTTCATTCATAAATCGTATTGGCGTCAGCAGTCGAGTAGTCGAGTAGTCGAGAACCATGGAGTGGACGGACAGTGAGGCAGCAAAAGCAACAACAACACAGCACATCATAATGTGCCTCAGCGTTCGTTTCAATCAGCATCAAGACAATTTTGCTCGCCGGTTCTACTCATTAAGTACTACCAGCAGCTGCTGAATGCTATCGCTCGTAATTTCCATGCAGCACGTTTTTTTTTTTTGCTTCCATTTGACGACGCGTTCACCATTGATCTGTGGTTCTGTTTTTCTGGCATTCGATTGATTGGCGGTGGCGCTACATAGAAACACATTTCAAGCACTTGGTAACTGAGGCACTCTGCTGCGCGCTCGGTCTACGTCCACATATGTACATATGTAGTATGTATAACCTATGGAGGTGCAAAGTACACGTTTTTATTTATTTATATTGGTAGCACTTGACCGGAAGGCACCGCCAGCTATGCTCCATAGTACTTAGTTGCATACATACAAATGGATTTGCCTGCGTGTGTGTTCCCGAACGCCATTCCGAAATTGTAAACATTAGCAATTAAGTTCCAGGGCCACAAATGTACATACATACATATGTATGTAGATGAGTATGAATTCACACATGTCCATACTAAAATTACGCAGGCAATGAAATGACGCATTGAGGCTATTTTAATTTTTTTATTACCACGATTTTTGCAATTCCTTTTTTTTTAAATATGTTTACTTTACGTTTGCCAAAAGCATTATTTGCGGAACTGAAATGGTGAAATCAATTTCTGATCTATGCGTCTGAAACGCGCATATTTCTCCACGTTGGTAGCGTATACCACGAAAAAACTGAACGGAGACCCTTAATTTAGTCGGCGGAGCGCCGCGAGCCAATTACCAAAATTTCGAATGCGGGTAATTTCAATCCCTGAGAGCTCAGTGTTAGTTGAGAAGTGCGAGCCAAAATGCTTCCATCTTAGCCCCGTAAAGGTTGGACAGTCTAACAGAAAGAGTGGAGATGATTTCACCTCATCTTCCTCTTGACATCTGATCCAAAAGAGATCAGTTGAAACTGCTAGTCTTACCGCGTGAATACTAAATAATCGCACAATGGCCTGTCAGAACTCCCATCACTTGCCCTTGAAAGGTAATGTGTTTTTCGGCACCTTTAAGGGGTAACGATGGGTCACTCGCGTCTTGCGCTGCAAAAAGTATTTTAAAGCAACAGCGAAACGTCTTCCTTTCCTTTTTTATGTCACAAAAGGAGCATCGCTTTCTTTTGTCCATTTTATTAGGTACTTAGTAGAGTATGCAATTTCATTATCGCGATTACGAAGTATGCGTGTTAGTCTAGCACTCACCGAGCTAACACTAGGCCCACCCATCCAAGAGTGTACCGCATGAGGACAGAGGCGTGCCTAGTTACTCATTATTTGAAGATAACATTTTAAGGGTGCCTTTCCAATGGCAGGTCATCAGCCACACCACCGTTTCCCGTGAAGTTACTGTGACCCGTAACCAAAACTAGCCTGATTAATAAGTACACCGACGCGGTTGATAGAGAGATGAGACATTCATTTACCGATTTCCATCACACTCTTTAGCAGTGAGTCTACCTCTTCCTTTGTGACAACTTTTTCCACCAGAAAGACTTTGAAGAAGGCCGGTAGCCTGAACAAACTTTTGGTGGATATTTCCCGACAGAAGACACCTCCACCAACCCTGTCTTCAACCCAGCCCTACCCAGTACTATCTTGAGGGATTATAGGTAGAGAAGGAGCTTTTGCCAGACATTTCAGCGGCGCTGTAATCTATGTGTTCACAGCTCTCCAGAACTGCTGCGACAATTCTGTCTGCAATATCCGCTGTGTTCAACATGGCGTTAAGCGCCAGTGTAGGTTAGATTCCTAATGCTCCACTAATTCCTATTAGGGTGATCCGCTGTAAACCTAATGGGTTCCACCAGACAAGTGCTCCGTGCAACAAAATAGGCTCAAATCTGATTTCATAGAGCTAATGAATTACTTTGGGCGAGAGACCTCACCTTTTTTCCGATAGCTCCCCTACAGGGGAGAGAGAACCCCGCATTACGGAGTGCTCCTATTGACTCTGAGTTGTAGACTTGACTATTGCCTCTGGAGTGACATTGTTGAAGGACCCTCGTAATCGAGGAAGGCCCCTACTGCAAAATATTTATGTGTGAAGGTTTCCTTTAACGACCTTACCGATGTGTGCAGGGCGATTTCACCGACCTTTCCTTGCAATAAGGATGTTGAGCTCTTGAAAGACTGTTTCGAGGAATCCCGTTTCTTATGTATGGATCTATCAGTCTCTCTAGCATTATTAGCAAAAACGAAGACAGGCTGATAGGCCTTAATTTCCTAGGAGAAACATGCGAGCCTTTTCCGGCCTTCGGGATGAACGCAACACTGGCTACCCTCCAGGCCTTAGCGATGTACGCGGTCCGCACGCAGTTTGTATAAATTGGAGGTAACTAATTGCACGACACCTCCAGAACCCTTTGCAGCTACGCAGGTGTGATGCCATCGGTTCCCGGCGACTTGAATTGTTTGAACGAATTTATCGCCCAGGCGATATGACGATCGTCCAGAAGTACAAAATATTCTAAAGAAGTACATTTGACTGTACTATACTGCGAAGTACGAAATACAATGGCTAAAAAAGAAGACTGTACTTCTGAAAGAAGTACGGTTGGTCACATTAGCTATACCGCTTCTTGGTCGGTCCGCTAAGCTATCATATCTACACTTCATTCCAACTCCAAGGTTGGAACTGGCGACACACTAATCCATTGGGGGGTTTGCCATTGGGGGGTTACTAGACCGGCTGTATTATAATGGCACCTTCCTGACAACGGGTTGCCTCAAGGACTAACGGTGGGGCACTGCCGTAGTGGACCGTTGAGATTCCCCTTACATCCATATATAACTTAGAACACTGCGCCCGCCTCTTCAGGCAGGTGGTCGTACGAACAAGATGAATATAAACAACAACAAAACAATGAAAATTACGCAAATTTCGAGCAGCGGGGGTCTTCGGACCCGACACCCAAAGCTGTCTCTGTCCGGGTGGGGTTCTGAGGAGGCGAAGTCATCTCCGGCCATGAGTAGGGATCCTCGTGAAATCGAAGCTGGCTAACGACAAAGCTTCGAACAACAGGTGGTCGTTGTCTGCAAGTTCCGTTGAGTTGAGTTGAGTTGTGTTGTGTTGTGTTGTGTTGTGTTGTGTTGTGTTGTGTTGTGT